AAAAATCCCAAACTGGTACACATGTAAAAAATTTACTCCAAACTAATTTTTTTATCAAGAAAAAACCCCAAACTTGTACACTTATGAAAATTTTACCCTTCGTTAGTTTCCGTTAAATTTTACCATCATATTGCTTAGTTGGATGACACGTAATAGTTGACGAGTGTACCAGTTTGGGGTTTTACCCTCTGCCTATCATAGATTTACCATTTTGTGATTTTTCGTGATATTAATCCAATTTAACATAGGCTAAATTTGTCACAAGTGCACCAGTTTGTGATTTTTTATGGTCATAAAATTAGTTTAGGATAAATCTATCACAGGTGTACCAATTTGAGGTTTTTTATGGTTAAAAAATTAGTTCGGGATAATTTTGTCGCATGCGTACTAGTTTAGAGTTTTTCGTGGTATTAACCGTTTGTATTAACCTATGTCAAACGCCTTCGAAGCAGTTCTATCTTTCAAGAGCTAAGGAAATATCAGGACAGATTCCTCTAGCTGGTGTGGGAAGTGCCTACACACCAAGATAGCGAGGCATCAATTTCACTTGCCACCACCAAATTGGTATGATTTAGATTTAGGTGCATGGAAAAGTTACGATTTTGATTTTTCTTGGTGACAACATGCTGTCTTCTGTTTTATTCAGGAGTTGGTGAAGAGGGAAAGAAGAGCATCTTGAGTTATCAAGCTCGCCGCCCTTTGTTGTGAACTTGTAAATCACCTCTCATATTTGTGAACGCAAAATGTCATCCATAATATAGCAATCAATCTCCACCATCGCCTGCTCAACTTACTCTCTTCCCCCGGATGATTTTTGGAGTGCTTGGTAGCTTACATAAAAAGTAGTCCAGATGTGCTTCAAATGTATTTTTGATATATTGCTGGTTCTAACGAAGAGGATGTTCCTTCTTTTACTGTAATGGACGTTTCGTACTGAGATGACGGACACAAAAATATTGGTTGTATCTTTTTTTTGGTGAACACAAGAGGCTAAGAGATCTGTATCCAGCATCTAATTTTGTCTCCTCTCAAACAAAATAAGTGGCAAATTTGACAGAAACTGAAGAGAATTGGGGGAATTTTTGTATTGTATTATGTTAATTGTAAACATGTACATCCATCTATTTATAATGTACGAAAAGAGAAAAGAATAGGAAATAATATACAAGAGATTTTTAATTTCCTAAACTAATCATGGATTGACTAAATCAATACCAATGTCCACGATCATAATCTTCAATCATATCTTCAATAATATCATATCTCCAACACTCCCCCTCAAGCTGGTGGCCTATATATGTCGAGGACACGTAGCTTGCTCAATAGGTATGAATGTTGTCTTTGACATAATGGTTTAGTGAAGATGTCTGCAGGTTGTTCCATAGTTCCAATTCCTTTTGTTACAAGGATTCCTTCTCAAATCTTATCCTGAGTAAAATGACAATCAACTTCTATATGTTTCGTTCTTTCATGGAATACTGGATTTGCCGTTAATTTGAGTGCAGCATCATTGTCACAAAACAATTCACTTGGTCCATTGACTTGCATCCCAAGGTCCGAAAGTAATCCTCGTATCCAAACTATTTCGCAGACAGTTTTTGCCATGGCTCGATACTCTGATTCAGCTGATGACAATGATACTGTTGACTATTTCTTTGTTTTCCATGAAATTAAAGATTTTCCCATTTGATGCAAAAACCAGTGATGGATCTCCTGGTCATTGGGCAAGTAGCATAATCTGTATCACAATAAGCTGTCATCTTCATGTTGCAGTCACGAGACAAAAATATACCAAATCCTGGGCATCCCTTTAAATATTTTACCACTTTCAATGCTGCATTCATATGAGACTGTTTCGGGCTATGCATGAATTGACTGAGTATTTGCACCGCATAACATATGTCGGGTCTTGTCATGGTGAGGTATATTAGTTTCCCAACAAGTCGCTGATATCCCGATGGATCCTTGAGCAATGGATCCTCAATAGATGAAGATGAACCCGCATCATACTCATGTGTTGTCAATTTGATATTCTGCTCAATTGGTATGACGGCTGGTTTACATCCTGATAATCCTGCTTCAGAAACAATTTCCAAGATGAATTTTCGCTGACTAAGGTTGATTCCTTTTTCAGACCGAGCAATTTCAATGCCAAGGAAATATTTAGAAGGTCCCAGATCCTTGATGTGTAAAGTAGAATGCAAATATTCTTTGAATTTTCCAACAAGAAGGTCATTATTTCCCATGATAAGTATATCATCAACATATATCAGCAAATAAATTGATGAAGCACCTGCAGTCCATGTGAACAGAGCATAATCATGTTTGGAATACTGAAAACCTACACTTGTTAGTGCAGCAGTGAATTTAGCATACCATTGCCTAGATGCCTGTTTTAGCCCATATAGGGATTTACGGAGACGAAATACTCGAGACTCCCCCTGTCTGCGTAATCCCTGTGGAAGTTCCATGTAAATTTCCTCATCGAGATCTCCGTGTAGGAATGCATTGTGAACGTCCATCTGATGTAGTTGCCAATTGCGAATGGCGGCAATTGACAAGAAAGAACGGACGGTTACCTCTTTTGCAACAGGAGAAAAAGTTTCATGATAATCAAACCCTTCTTGTTGCGTGAACCCTTTAGCAACTAATCGGGCCTTATATCTTTCAACTGAGCCATTAGCTTTGAATTTGATTTTATACACCCACTTACAGCCGATTGGCTTTCGATGTGGGGGTAATGGAACAATATCCCAAGTGTTGTTTTCCATGAGAGCATGAAGTTCAGATGCCATTGCATTTTGCCATCGAGGGTCACGTGCTGCTTCACTATATGAAGATGGCTCATATTCTTCTGAAATGCGACTAATGCAACACATATGTTCTGGTGATAGTCGATTAAAAGAGACATATGAGGATATAGGATATTGTGTACTTGGAAAACTCAAAGTAGAACATATATAGTCCTTTGTCCATGTAGGTGGACGGATATTCCGTTTAGAGCGTCGAAGTTCCTCAGTTGGAGGTTGTTCAGGTGCACAGGTGATGGGGATCCTTGGGCCGCCTGCGATGGAGTTGAAGCCGTCGTGGGGGAGGTAGGCAAATGAATATCCTTGGATATTGATTCTGGTGATTCTTCGGTGTGGCTCAAAGAATCGCTCATAATTTTATCGGATGATTCCGGTGCAACAAAATGATATTCTGGAGCCATAAATAAATCTTCATCGGATAAGAATTGCCGGTGGTCCCGTTATGATAAGGAAGATTGGGACGAAGACGCCATCTCTTGGAATGGAAATATATCTTCATGAAATATAACATCCCTGCTGATAAAGAAATGTCCTGTAGATATCTCCATAACTCTATATCCCTTTTGAAGAGGAGTATATCCCATGAAAATACACTTAGTGGCACGGGGATCCATTTTATTTTGAGGGCCCACAGTTGTTGCATAACATAAACAGCCAAAAACTTTAAGATGATCAATTTTTGGCTCCTTTCCATAAAGCATTTCAAAAGGAGTACGGCCACCAAGAATTCTAGTTGGCATGCGATTAATCAAGTAGGTTGCCGAGACTACACAATCTCCCCAAAAATTCTCAGGAATGGAAGCTTGATATTTTAGTGCTCGAGCTACTTCCAAGAGATGTCTATGCTTGCGTTCAACAATTCCATTTTGTTGTGGAGTGTAGGTGCAGGAGCTTTCATGAATTATTCCATGGGTAGATAGAAATGATATGCAATCAGAAGTAAAGAATTCTCGTCCATTATCTGTGCGAATTCGCTGGATAGATTTATCGAATTGATTTTTAACCAGAGAAAAGATATTCGACAGATTCGAAAAGGTTTGGCTTTTGGATTGCATGAGGAAGACCCAAGTAGCACGCGTATAATCATCAACAATCATGAGGAAGAAACGAGACCCATCACGATGAGTGGTATGATAAGGACCCCAAATATCCATATGAAGTAAGGAAAATGAACTTTTTGCTCGAGATGTACTGTTTGGAAAGGATGCTCGAGATTGTTTAGCCAAAGGACATATTGGACATTTTGGATGAGGGAAACGCGCACTATGACCCAAGCGTTGATGAAAAAGGAGATTTTTATTATGAATGGTTGCATTACAAGAAATGCTTTTATTCAATGAATCTAAATCTCCTGGGGCATCTATCCAAAAATATAGTCCTTGCGCTATATTACCCAAGCCCATCAGTTTCCCAGTCGAATGGTCCTGAAAGAAACAATTTTCTGAAGTGAATATGGCACGACAAGAATTATCTGCGCAGACTTTTGAGACAGAAAGAAGGTTGAACTCAAAATCAGGAATATATAGGACATTCTTCAAGATGAAATTGGGACCAAGATGGACGGTCCCTATTGTAGTGACATGTGTGATATTTCCATTTGGAAGACGCACAGATGTGGAGGATTGTGAATCATGAATATCGGAAAATAAATGCTCATTGCAAATTATGTGGTCACTGGCTCCTGAGTCGATTATCCATGTATCAACTGAAATTGAATTCCTCTTGTAAAGAAAAGTACCTGAGAAACTTGCATTTTTGTCGCTGGTTTTCAATTGACTTAGAGCCTTCATAATATTCTGATACTGCTCTCGAGTAATCGTTTCATGTGCTCCATCAATTCTTTGTGCAGAGACCTGATAAGTAGAAAATTCCTTCTCCTTTCTATTTTTATCACTTGGTTTCCCATGTAATTTCCAGCAGGTATCAAGAGTATGGTGTGGGCGCTTGCAATATTCACAATATTTATTTTTGAATTTAGAATTTTGCCCACTAACCTTTCCTGATGACATGGCAATTCGTGAGCCGTAGGATCCCTTATAAGTTTGTGCCGACGTGGCTTGATTAGAGCCATCAGATTCGGCTGGGCTGATGAGCGAATATGGGCCGTCTGATCTCTTGCGCTGATCCCAGCCGTTGATCCGTGAAGACCTAGGGTATACATCGTTTTCTTTGGATGTTGCAGTAATTCTTCGTCCCGTGATGCTCCCAAGAGCTCCCTGTTCTCCGGTCAATGATTCCGTCGCTGCTGCTCTTCGAAGCCCGACGTTCCCGAGAGCCTCTTCACTTCCGTTCGTCGATCCCGCCGTAACAGCGCCAGACGGGAAAGCGGCGAGAGTGGCGCTTTCACCCATCCTTGCATTCTCAGACACGGCCAGTCGTTGGCTCTCCTCCTGGACGGCTAATTGATAGATCCGGCCGAGTGGCGGCGCGGGTTCCATTGCAAATATTTGCGACCGGAAGGATGAATATGATTCGTTGAGTATGAGTAAGAATCTCGTAGCCTTCTCCCGTTCCTTTATTTCCTTGTACTGTCGGAGCGTGGTCTCGGGTCCCTCGAGCCGCTCCTCGGCTGCCTCGAGCTCGTTCCAGAGAGCCGATAACTGATTGAAGCACGTAGTAACCGATCGGTTACCCTGTTTCAATTCGGATAGGGCTTACGTGAGAGTGAATATCTTTACTCGATCTAATTTTCTATACATCTCCCATATGCTTTCCCATATTGTTTTTGAATCTTCTGTTGGTGGCAGTCCGGCCGCGACATCGGGTGCTAGGCAATTTCCGATCCAAGTGCGAACCAGTTGGTTGCACCGTCGCCGGTGCCGTTGTAGTCGCTCATCAGTCGGAAAGGGGACGGTTCCGTCGAGGAACCCGTCTTTATCTTTTGTGACCAGGGCTCGCAGAAGGTCTCGGGCCCAGGCGGTGTAGTTGTCCGGTCCAGCAAGCTGCAAGCTTATGAGTCGGAGTTCTGGTCCGTCCGCCGGCGAAGTGTACAGAGGGTCGCCGGGTTCTGGGCGGCCGCCGTTTGCTGGAATCGCGTACAGGAAGAATTCGGGTTGGAAAACCGGGTAGGGATTCGCCCCTAGACTCGGATAGGTGGATTCAGGTCTGTGACCGTGACCCATCCAACCCGATCCACTGTTTTGGTTTGCTCCGGGAGTGGGAGGAACTGGCCCACTTGCATTCGGCTGTGTTCCGAGTCCTGAAGTTTTATCCTCTCCGGGTGGCACATATTGGGTCCATGTTTGACTTGATCCAGTTGGCCACTGGCTTTGAATCGGAATCCATTGGATTGCTGGCCATTGGATCGAGCCAGGAACTTGGACCGGATTAGTGGGAGATCCATCAGAACGTCGCTCAGAAGCACGTTCTTCTTCAGTCAAATTAATTTGATTCGAGGATTCCTCCATTGAAGGTTCGTGGATTTCACCAGTGTTGATATCACCGGTGTTGGTGTTTTTGTCGTTTGTCATGGTATCAAGAAATCGAATTCCTTCCGGTATTTCCGATTTGTTTTGCAGGATATGAATTGCAACAACAAACCAGAAAACAAGAAAACGGAGGCAATTCTAAAAGATGCGGAAGCTAGGCCAGGATTGAAGGCTCTGATACCATGACAGAAACTAAAGAGAATTGGGGGAATTTTTGTATTGTATTATGTTAATTGTAAACATGTACATCCATCTATTTATAATGTACGAAAAGAGAAAAGAATAGGAAATAATATACAAGAGATTTTTAATTTCCTAAACTAATCATGGATTGACTAAATCAATACCGATGTCCACGATCATAATCTTCAATCATATCTTCAATAATATCATATCTCCAACAAAATTAGAGAGAAATCTTTATTCTGAGCCCATTCTAACAACCAAAATTGGCGAACCAATCTGCGGGCTTGTTGCCTTCTCTCAACACATGGTGCACTTGAATAGATGGATATTACTTGATTTCATGAAAAGTAGAGTTGTGTATTATCATTTTTTTATTTGTCTGAATCAAGCTCAGTTCACTTCGAGTTTGAAATGGAAAAAGATTGATTTTTGTACAAGGCAGAAGGTTTAAGTAACCGAATTTCGTGATTAAATCCAGATGTTGGTAACTAGTTTATTAAGATTTATATCCAAGATAATCATTAAATAAATGCACTCTTGTTGCCGTCGCCGAGCAGACTTCCTTCTCCTCTCCTCATTCGCCGCTCTCCATGCGATGAAGCTCCCATTCTCTTCTTCCGGTGTCCGATGCTCCGCCTCTGATCTAGTCCCACTCAAGAATGGAGGGATCATAGCTACTCTATACCAACGTCTCCATGCGATCAACCTCCGGTGCGCCACCACAATCCGATGGCAGAATCAGGCTGTTCTGTATCAACAACGCACAAGCACAAGACAACCTCTAACACTTTCCACGTTTTGAGCTCTCCCTGGATGGATTACGATGAAGTCTCTGAGCATCACAAAGAGAAGTGGACGAATGAACAACTTGTTAAGGACGCTTTGTCGAGAAATCTGGCCACAACTTCAGTGAGTTTCATATCCGAATCTTGTTATCATTCTGTCTTTACTTAATCCTTATTACTTCTTATTTTTGAGATTTTTTTTGCATGATTTGGTAAGTGATTTTTTTTGTTTCTTTTTTCTTTATTTTATCTTTTTTGGCTGCGTGTGGAAGGTTTTGCTTTTTATTTTACTCTTTTAAATGCATTAAAAATTCCAAAGGTCACCCTGAATTTCCTCACCATGCTCGTCGATGTAGTGAATAGATTTCTTCACAGTATGAAAACACTTCCGTTTCTAAGGTTTTGCAAACTATTATGCGAATAAAAATGTGCAACAACCAAGCGTAAATGCCTGGTAGAAATTATTTGATTTCATCAAATATACACTTTAAAAAAAATAGCAACAAAAGAAAAGAAAATTACATGCCGGAAGTGGATTTTAGATATCTCTATAGAAAAGATAAAATTATATTGAAAAAAGAAGCTTGTCCAAAAAGAGAAGAATGAAAAAGAAAAAAAAAACAAGAGATTGAATTCTAATATTGTCGGTGAAGCCAATCCTTAACTTTGAATTGATGCATGAATGATCTTTAATTTCTTGGTGTGAAATTCGAAATTCTAAATTTACTATGTGTTTATTTTTCATATTGTTTCGTCGGAAATGTCCTCACGACGAAATATAATTCACCGAAAGTCGTTCTTCAATTCTTAATGTGAGGAGACCGGATTCCGTGGCGACTCCGGACAGGAAATATCCAGGGAGATAAGGAAAAACGGCGAACTTTTACTCCGAACTTCGAACCGGACTATATGTACAAATCGTGCCGGAATTTAATCGACGACAAAGCTTGAAAATACAGCCGCACACGTACACAAAGATGTAACGCCGGAATTTAATCGACGACGCAACACTCGGGATAAAGATACATTCCGGAATTTAATCGACGACGCGAATCGGAAAGCTACAGCTAAGGAAAGATAAAGTGCGGTACATGAAAGTAAAGATAATTGAAAGATGACATGTTGTTTGATTTTATCGGGGTGTCCTCTCTCCGGTAGATGGTCGGTGATATTTATAATGGTCGTGTGATAACTGCTCCTTAGCAGTTTTCAACAGTTGTGCCCATGTTCATCCATTCCGAAAATCTTGTCTTCATGTCCATGTGATGCCATGATTCTGCTTTCAAGATAACTGTCTCACGATCTTGTCCACAAGTGATAACTTCCTCATAATCATGGTTCCAAATAACTGTTCTCTCAAAATACGCATGTATGCTCCTTAGTGGTTTCCAACAGTTACGTTGAATCCATTATCTTGACGGTTTTCTTTTTACTCCACTACGTTGGCGGTTGCTTTGACTCCACTATGTTGACGGTTACTTCTTCTTTCTGCATCTCCAACCAGTCACAACCGTCGAATTCCTTTAACCTCGATGGCTTCTACAGTGATTTGCTGAGAAAACTCAAAACATAAAAGTTGTAGATCCATGAGTCTTCGTTCTTTTGGCTTTGGAATCAGGTCAATCCGATCTGTCTCGAAGAAGTTATGACTATTTTCCCGAACTAGCGCAGAACTGCAATTTCGTCGAAGTCATCGACAAGATGTCAAAGTCCTCGACAAGATGAAGTCACGACCGTCGACTTCCTTTAACCTTGATGTATTCTACAGTGATTTTCTGAGAAAACTCAAAACATAAAAGTTGTAGATCCAGGAGTCTTCGTTCTTTTGGCTTTGGAATTAGGTCAATCCAATCTGTCTCGACGAAGTTATGACAATTTTCCCGAACTAGCGCAGAACTGCAATTTCGTCGAAGTCATTGACAAGATGTCGAAGTCCTCGACAAGATGAAGTCATGACCGTCGACTTCCTTTAACGTTGATGGCTTCTACAGTGATTTTCTGAGAAAACTCAAAACATAAAAGTTGTAGATCCAGGAGTCTTCATTCTTTTGGCTTTGGAATCAGGTCAATCCGATCTGTCTCAAAGAAGTTATGACCATTTTCCCGAGCTAGCGCAGAACTGAAATTTCCTTGATGAAGTCGTGACCAGTCTTGTCAATAATACCCAAAAATTGGTCATTTTTGGGTGTAAATATATACACATGACACATGCCAGAGTCCCTTATGTTGGCAACTTGATGATATTTGCTTCCACGTTACCTCAAGTCTCCGCCACATGTCCCTTGATGATCTTTGGCACAAACGAACTATGTCGACAAGTTGGCCATTTTTTGGTGTAAACATATGCCCCCTTTAAAAGAATGGAATGATTCATCAATCATTCGATTCTTTTAAATTAGGTAAGCAAGCAAGAGTCATCATATGCCCCCTTGTCATCGGCAAATATGATTTTTTTTTTTACCGAATTTCATATTCTCATATGGCTCATATTTTTTTCTCGAAAGACACGTCGTCAGTAAAGTCTTCATGTGACCCTCTATCTCCGTCCTTAAGTAATTGCTCATATTTAGACACTCTCGTTGCCAATTCAAATAAATCGGCAAAATTTTGGCCTTCAAATTTTTCTCTCAAATTAAAGTTCAATCCATTGAAAGCCAAATTTGTAAATTCTTTCTCCGGGAGTGAAGTAAGACATCTATTTCTAGCCCTCTTGAATCTGGAAATGAACTGCTCTACTGATTCATAACTATATTGCTTAATATAAGCCAAATCAGTAATGGACACATTGTGAACTAACCTGTAGAACTGGCTATGGAACTTTGTCTCCATTTGCTCCCAGGAATGTATAGAATTAGCCGGTAAAAATGTATACCACGTGAAGGCTGTCTTAGATAATGACAAGGGAAATAGCCTTAACTTCCAACAATCAGCATGAGATGCATCACCGCATTGTGCATCGAACCGACTAACATGTTCCACTGTCGATTGATCATCTTCGCCAGAAAAAAGGTTGAAATCAGGAATTTCAAAACCTCTTGGATATGGTACCACGTCCATCCACTCTGGATATGGTTTCTGTATACGGCTCTCGTATTTACCGGATCATGTTCCACGCGTGGCACCGTTTGGTGTAGTATTACCTCAACCTGTTGAGGATCTTGACTATGGATCACTTGAGTAGGATTATCCAGACTCGCCTGCACTTCAATTGAACCACTTGATGTTCCAAGCTCGTGCATGACCACTTGGAAGGTATTGACAATTATGGGCTTTATCACATCGATGACACATTTTATCATGTGGTTAATTGTTTCCTTCTGGTGTTCGTGGAGAATCCTCCTCATAGAAGCAAACATAATAGGATCTAGCTCTAATTGCATTCTCTGCTCATCAGTGAGTTGTCTTGGGTTGTCAACATCTTCACCTTGCTCTTGTTCTGCTACCGGTTGTGCAGTTGATAGCTTAGAACATCCCACTTTGTCATTTTCATGTTGTGGTGATGAGTTGTTACCACCAGCGTAATGGGGATCAACTTGTTTCCTTGCTCTCGGCATCGTATCTCCTCAAATCAACCACAATGGTCCCACCGGGCGTGCCAAAATTCTATTTCACCAGAAAATGCTCCCGCGGCGAAATATAATTCACCGAAAGTCGTTCTTCGGTTCTTAATGTGAGGAGACCGGGTTCCGTGGCGATTCCGGACAGGAAATATCCAGGGCGATAAGGAAAAATGGCGAACTTTTACTCCGAACTTCGAACCGGACTATATGTACAAACCGTGTCGGAATTTAATCAACGACAAAGCTTGAAAATACAGCCGCACATGTACACAAAGATGTAACGCCGGAATTTAATCGACGACGCAACACTCGGGATAGAGATACATGCCGGAATTTAATCGACGACGCGAATCGGAAAGCTACAGCTAAGGAAAGATAAAGTGCGGTACATGAAAGTAAAGATAATTGAAAAATAACATGTTGTTTGATTTTGTCGGGGTGTCCTCTCTCCGGTAGATGGCCGGTGATATTTATAATGGTCGTGTGGTAACTGCTCCTTAGCAGTTTTCAACAGTTGTGCCCATGTTCATCCATTCCGAAAATCTTGTCTTCATGTCCATGTGATGCCATGATTCTGCTTTCAAGATAACTGTCTCACGATCTTGTCCACAAGTGATAACTTCCTCATAATCATGGTTCCAAGTAACTGTTCTCTCAAAATACGCATGTATGCTCCTTAGTGGTTTCCAACAGTTACGTTGAATCCACTACCTTGACGGTTTTCTTTTTACTCCACTACGTTGGCGGTTACTTTGACTCCACTATGTTGACGGT